TAGGGAACTCTTGAGGCCTCCTGGCTCATGACTGCCTTCTGGACCCCAGTCCCCTCTACTGTTACAGTGCTGCTCATCTGTATGTTCTCTACCAGCAATGCTTTGACATCCCTAGGACACAGCGTACATAAAATAAGCAAAGCATTCAGAAATACTTTTGCAACGTCGCACTTCAGTCATTACAAATCAGCAAAGTATGAATGCTATTTTCTGAGAAATGACACTACGTCTGAATCACAACATTTGCACATGGGGGTGGTTCTCACCTCGTCCCACTGAAACCAGCCCACATGGAAGTGTTTTATAAATCCGACCTCAACTGTATTACAATGTAGGGTGTTCTGAGGTCAAGCTGCCCTCCAGTGCCAGTATGAAGACACAAGATGGAGTTAAGTTCAACCAATTTCTTTGAAATATACTCGACTTAAAAATTCTGCTCTAACTAGGGCACGTGGTCTTACTTCAGTCAAAAATCCTTACACATAGCAGTCCCTTCCTTCCCTTCCTTCTCACTGAAAACTAAATTCCTTGTGTCAGTGTAGATTGTTTGCTCAAGTCAGAGTGGTTTTACTGGATTTCATTATTGGTTTGAAGCTTTGCAGAAGGTTTCACATTCATGTTAGAAACAAGGTGGCTAATGTTTTTTTTTCCCCAGATTTGTATGCAAAGAGAGAAGTACACAGGCACTAGTGCCATACAGGTTTGCACAGGCTCTTTTTTTTTTTTTTTTTATTAGAACAATAACTACTATTATTGCTATTAAAGTGACATCCTTCCAAATCCTTTGTTAGAAAAAGGCCTGAGAAACTCATGGCACATTCTCAACATTAACAAAAATACCATAAAGATTGTCAGTGTCCCTTTGCAAACTTGAAAACTGAATAAACTTTTTGACTGTTTGAAATGACTTCTGAACAACTGACACTACAATATTCGAGACCTTTACAAAGATTTTGGTCAATATTTTCCTGTTGGGATAACCACAGTGCAGGGATTTAATTTTTTCTGTGCAATGCAGGCTCACTAGCTCGACCTGTTGCCAAGATTGCTCAATGCAACAATGCTAATCTCTCAAAATCATCCACAACCCATAGGCAGCAAAGGGACCTTCTGTCCCTCATTCCTAATGGAGATAAACTTGAATGGGGCCTCTCTGCACTTCAGGGGTTCCCAGCTGCCTTCCTGACCCAGGTGGGCTGGTGGTAGCAGTGGATGACACAGCCAGCAGATTTCAGACTACTCCACCTAAGGCTGGGGAACAGCCTGTATTCAGCCTGTATTTAGGCTACAAAGCAGCAGGACAGTCATTTTATTCCTTTGTGCTCATACTGACACTGTGGCTATAAACCCTGCTTTAGGACAGGCAGCCTGATATTCTGCATACTCCCAAAAGAAGTGGAGGTAAGTTGATTACATACATAAACAGTTTTCAAAGCCACATTGCTTTTCATCAAATTGAAAGCTCCACATTTGACTCAAAGTCTATTTTCACTGACTGCAGTATTGGCTATGATCATGTGGAAAACCAACACCTCACAGATACTTAAACAAAGGCACCCTCATCTGCACGTACTTGCTTTGCTGTATTCTATCCACATAATCAGACTTACTGACATTTTATGGGAAAAAGATCTCTACAGAGGATTTTTCACATACACACACACATATATATGTACAAGATTTTCTTTCTTTGATTCTTTACTATCAAGGATTTAGTTGTATGGTTCAGGATCCTTGCTGTGAAAGCTCCTTTCTGCATCAGTGGACATAGTTCCTTTGACATACTAAAGCTCAGTGAAATATCCAAAACAGCCCAAAAGCTACACAAAATTCATCTGCAGTGTCCATCGTAGTATTGGAATTCTTGCTATATTCACTGAAAAGATCATCAAAGGTCACAAATATGTATGTACTTAATGACATCTGAAGTTTTTTCATCTAACTCAGTCAAAATTAATGTTCGAGTATTCCCCATAATAGCAGAAGTGACATTTCATGTCAGAAGCAAGCTTCCATATTGTTCTGCTCTCGTCTCAATTAGTAGCTACTATCATTTTAATAGCTGTCAGCAGTGGATATAAGAATAATTCTACCAAGCACTTCTACAAAGTAATAGGCTGAGAATTTTTGTAGTGGACAATGTTATAAAAATACAGTAGGTTGCCATATTGTTATGCCAGCATAAAATTGTGCCTATTCATATGTCTCCCTATATGATTTAATGAGCCATAAAAATTAATAACTGCAAAGGATCCTGAGTCACACAAAGGCTAATCAGACACAGGGCCCATGAAATCTCTATAAAATGACTCCCAGGCTTGGGTGAGGGCCACATCCACACTGGCTCCACATTTTGCAGCATCTCCTCTCACTAAATAAAAAGAACAAATTTAAATACTGAATTTGAAAATGCTGAGAAGTTTGGGGTATTTGGCTTCCTCATCACAATCCAAATTATAAAAATGGGGCCGATCTTTAGATAAGAACAAAGGAAATAAAAGGACCAGTAAAGGAGAGAGAAAAATCAATAAGATTAATAGATTTTTCTAAGCAGACTGTATTAGAGTTTTCCATGAGGTATCAACCATTCTTTCACACATAGCTGTGTGGAAGTTCTTACAAAAAAGTTTCTAAAGACATATAATTAAATGCAAGGGGACTGAGTATTTTAGAAAACAGCTGTAGTTTTGTTGGAGTTAGTCCATTTAAATTTAATCCCAATTCAGTATGAAACAGCAAAATACAAAATATAAAAATAAAAATAATAAGGAATTATAATGGAAATGCTAACTCAAACTTAATTATAGCAGTAATACCAACATTACTATAATACAACAATTATAAGCAATACATTAGTAGGTATGTAGATACATGTAGGGCTTGATATTTGTGGTAGACCAGTTGCTCAAGGCCACTAAATTATTAATTTACATCGAACATCAGCTAAATGTGCAAGAAATTTCAACTTTAATGAGCAACAGTGGAAATTTCTGTAAACTGTGCAGAATACACAGGCTGAATTATATTTCTGACTTTGGAACATATTGTTAGTTTGCCCTTTATCAGTGGAAAGACCAGAAACTTCTATGTGCAGCCTGGAGGTATGTGGTTTAATCTGTGGTGATGAAAAACAAAAGTCATCAAAGACAATCTTGAATAGAATATGAAATGGACAGACCATTATGCACACTTCTCTGAAATCCCCAAAGCAATTTATGTTTGAGGGCTTGGTTTTCGTCACACTCTTTGGATATTATAATTTTGGGCTTCATTACAGGGTAAAGGCTATATTAAAGAGGCTCCATTTTGCTTGCTTTTTTAATATAACAAATACGCATATGATTTCGTTCAGTAGAAATTAAAAATGTTACACTATATACTGGCATTGAGGTTGAGTTTGGTCAACCACATAAAATAATACTTTGCAGTCTTAAATGCCTTTCATCAGAGGATATTCAAGTGCTTTGCTAACATTAGTGAAGCCTCACAACACCCCTGTGAGGTAGGTAAAACACATAGGAGAAGGAGGATTTCATTCAACATGGACATGATAACGTCTCTGGGCATTATGTTCACTAGCACTGCAACACATCACAGAGCTTTAGGGCTTACTATAAGGCAAAGAGTTAACTGTGCAAGAGCACAGGATTCCCTCTTCTTTTAGTTAAATGTGGTCAAGCTAACATAACGAATGGTGAAGCAAATGACCACATATGCAGTTCATCTGCAAACAGCATCCTCTGTGCAGTAGAAGACACAAAATAAGAGGCTCAAGACGCATGCTTTAGCCCATGACTACAGTAGGGCAGCTTAGTTATGGGATGTTTCTACCAGTTCTTGAGGATCAGAGTGCCAGACAGCCCAGAAAGCAGTACTGTCTCCACACAACTCTGATAATGCCTGAAGATGCTGGGTTTGGGTTCTTTTTGCACTAACATTACAATTCAAAAACAACAACTGCTACTCTAAAGCATTTTGGTAATTTCCATGCCCTGTGAAGGAAACAACCAAATACAATGCCTATTCTAATTAGACTGGACACATGTTCCCAATTTACAAGCAATGATGTGGTCAGATGGTTGTGATGGGCTGGGATAAAGAAACACTGTTATACATCTACAGTCACACTCTGAAGCTGCTGCAACCTGCCTCCTGTAAACTCCCTATAGCTTTGTTGCTTTTTTTTCCTCCCTTCATGGTGCAGACATAGGAGAGTACTTGACCCTAAGATGCATCAGTTTTTTCCTTAACGCGTAGCACCAATGATGCAGATGGTCTTTGTACAACAAGCATTTTCACTGCATAACTGATCTCACAGATTAATGACCGAGAAAAAAAAAGAAACAGGCATATGATTAAGAAAAGCATCACTCATCTAGAGCAGTCTATATGAAATACAAGGAAAGAGAAAACAATGTTCACAGTATTAGCCAGTACAAATAAATCCACACACACACATCTTTCTCCATATTTCACTTTTCTAAGTTGGTGTAAAAGGTATATCCCATATTTTCAAAATATTGCCCACATGGAGACTCTGATTTCTCTATTATAATAAAACACTACTGCAGCCAATCTACAAGATTCAAGACAGCTCTTGATTAATTTTGTCTTTGAATGCAAGACATTCTCCCCTTTTGCTAATTTCCATTTGAATCTTTTCTGTGTTTATAAAATTTGTGCATTATCAGCTGCATAAGTCATTACTGCCCAGGTTGGGTGACCGATCATGAATTCCACTGCCTTGTAAAATTGCTCAGAAGAGATGGTTCGTGGATTCTATAAAATCAATGCAAAGTTCTTTAGGGATATGGTTTAGTGGGGACTGTTAGTGTTAGGTCAGAGGTTGGACTCGATGATCTTGAGGTCTCTTCCAACCTAGAGATTCTGTGATTCTGTGATTTTGGGTAGACCTGTGCGGTGTCAAGAGTTGGACTTGATGATCCTTAAGGGTCCCTTCCAACTCAGGATATTCTATGATTCTATGATTCTATGATTCTCCTCATAAACACTGCATATGTTCACAACTAAAACTACATGGTTTCACTGATCAGCAGTGAATAAATTTATATAATTATAGTGCATCAATGATGTCCTCTCTTATTCTCATTTTCAATCTCTCCTCCCACAAAATGCTAATTTAAATATAGGAATATGGAGATTGCAGATACATACATGACAAATGGCAACTCAGAAAATGAGCTGGCACCCTTGTAATCATTAAAAGACAATCTCAGTTGTGGACTAATTGGCAGCTAATGGGAAAGACAACTTTATATCTCATACTGCCCAAAGTTGGAAGCCTTCTGCATTTCCTTTTCCTTTCCTTCCTTTTGTTCGTTGCAACATTGATTGTCGTAGATAGTCTTTGTGCTTTGTATAATGCCCATTGTTGATGTAACTGGAATTCACATACAAAATGTGGCTGTTATACATAAGCATGCTAGAATACAGGCAGGGACAATACAAGCATGCACAAAGCAGTCTTTGAAGGTTTTTTTTGTTTGTTAGTTTTTCTTCACCATTTACATGCACCACTTAATATCATGTTTGGTTGTGTACACTGAGGACTGGATTTCACAAGCATTCATGACCTTCTCTTCTGAAAAGCTTCTTGACAATTTCACAAGAACCCAGTGTAAAACAAAACAAATCAAAAACCAACAAACAAAACACAATTAAGAAAAAGGAAATAGAAAACTTCTCCCTGGAATCTGATCTTGTCTTCATGATTTTAATGCTGAACATTTCTAAAATTTCTTTTCCTTTTGCAGAGCTTCAGGTTAAAAGTTCAGTTGGAAAGACAGATTAGTGTGTCAAGGATTTTCTTAGCCACTGGAATAGTTCTTCCTTATAAAGCCTTTGCCACCGTACGTTGGCTTCCACTGTTTCCACAGCACGAGAGAAAGAGGCAGCAGTTCCCTCTTCATAACTCTTTATAAAGTTCTTTAGCTGGAAATACAATTTAACAGGTTAAATTTGCAAGAACTAAAGAAAGTAAATATTTTCAGTTCATGTAAACAAGTCAGGCATTTAGGACAAACCTCCACAATCACCACTGCAGTAAATGTTCTATCATGTAGAAGGATTTAAAAGGAAATGTAATAAGACAGCAGACTGTCAATTATATGTGATGCAATTGCTTCAAATTGCACTGGAAGATATTGACATGTCAGTGCTGGATCACATTAATATCATTTCCTCCACCTCTCGTAGGAAACCTCTCGCTGCTGCACTGCGCAAACAGCTGGGCTGCTCTGAACTTTTTTCTTACCTAAGAAACTAAACTGGGAGCACTCTAAGTGCTTCTAATTCAGGTGTATGTGTAAATGTCAGTAGAATGCAGCCCTGATGCTCTTTGGTTCAATCAAACTTCATACCAAATTTATTTACTTTTGATTTGCAGAACCCTTTTTATGATATAGTACAAGCTGGTTGTTTAGAAAAGGAAAGGATCGTTACAGTGGAAAGAGGATGGCAACAAAGCAAGTGGGCAATCATCTTTGAATCTTTTTTTTGATCTTTGAATGTCTGTAACAGATTCTTTCCCTTATGAGAAAACTTTGATCTTTTTTTCAGCAAACTGAAAAGGCCTCTTCTCATGTATACTCAAATTATAGCACTAGCCCCTGGATTATTATAGCTGATGGCACTGGTGTGCTTTGAATTACTGTTCTTTTTAAGTGAGAGCTGCAAGGCTGATCTGCACAGTAGGTTGCTGGTTATATTGACTTGTATAAAATTAGGTAGTTTTAGCTGCAGTTATTCATGATTAGTAAATTTTTGTTTCCTGGTGATACCAGAATCACCTTGTGTGTTTAAAACTAACTTCCAACTGCTTCCCTTTGTGTATGGGCTGAAAACTGAAAAAGCTGGTCCTGCAGCTATCTCATTCCCATCCCAGCTAAAAGGATGGGAGGGACCTGGGAACTATCAAAATCAGACCTTGCCTGATCTCTGCAGGTTTTATAACAATTTTTTTACGTGTCCAGTTTCTTTTCTGGGAAGTATAAACAGGCAGCCTGCTAATGCTATCATGAGGTAGAAACTGAGAGAACAGAAAGCTTCCTTTTGCAGGTCAGATACTCAAGTGTTAGCCAGTACCATCCTTGCCAGCTGGGTAGCCTTGAGGAGACAGCTGTGGCTCTTCCCAAAGTACCAGCGGCCACTTGACTTGAGCGCATACAAATGGTTGGGCACAAATATCGCAGCAGAATTAGAGGTCAACTAACGGTGATTATGCTGGGTATGAATCATTTGACCCATTTGGGGTAAAACTGAGCAGAGCATAAACAGAATGTAAGGCAACTGCACAAATACCTTAGTCAGGGCAGGTGTTAATTTAAAGTGAAAGATCTTGACAAACTAAATAAGGAGCAATTAGCATTTAGAACAAATTATTGTGACACCATTTGATCAGAATAGCAGGGTTTACAGCTTTTCTCACATTGAAATACAGTAGGCAATAAAAAAAACAGTCAAGGCTCTTGTAGCTTCTCCTACTTTCACCACTGAGGTTTTTCTTAGGGCTGCTCTCTGCAGCATCAGCTAACCTGGACAGAAAGATCTCTTGTTCAGTTTCTCAACCAAAAGCAGAGAAAAAAAATAATAAAAATAAAAATAAAACGAGTCCTACTCATCCAGCCAAGCCTTCGCTCCAGAGTTATTTCTAGTTTTTCTTTCAACATCAGAACACTTAAAAGCGAGATCCCAATCTCCTATGTAAAGTATACTATATTTTAGAGATGTAAAACCCTGTTTCAAGTTAAATTCAGCTAAAGGCCTGTCACATCTTAGTGGAAGAAAAATAAAGAATTACTGTAGCAAGATCCTGCCAGACGAATGGAAGAAATGCAAAATTTTAGAGTACCAAGAGCTACCTATACTACCCACTTCCTGGCACATCCCCTACACATTGGGGTGCCTTTGCAGTCTGCTCTTCATCCTCATGCTGTCCAACTCCAGCTGAGCATCCAGGGTTCCTACAAAAACACTGACTCTCCCAGTCATTCAGTGCTGCCCCTGACTGAGTGTAAAGAAACCCAAAGTTACTCCTTGTCCCTCCAGGCCTGCTTTCATTCAGCAGACACTTTTTTTCAGCTTCTCTGACCTTAGCAGCTGCTGTCACCTAATTTCTCCTGCCCTGTTCCATCAACAAAAACAGCCTCACATACTGGAATTCACTTAAAATTACCTCTCTTAGTTCTTCTTCAGTATTAAGGAATTCTGTGACCCCACTGATAAGCTTCGAATTCATAAATAATGCTTCTCCATACCTGTAAGGGCAAAAAGAAGATTCAGAGAGTTAGTGCAAGAACCAGGCCAGCTGAAAATGAGAAAGTAGTCTTCTGTAAGCAAGGGAAGATGTGGGACAGTTCTGGAGGTCCAAGAGTATAGCATTGGAATCAGACATTGTCATTCAGTGTTTCATGCCAGAAACCTGAACTGAGACCTACTTCTAAACTGAGTTCTTGATAGTTAACTTTTAGTCAGACACTACTAAGCAGAATGGGCTTATTAGCTTTCCATGTCATGACACCAAGAAGTTCAAAATACAGGCACCACAGAAGGAGAGAAACAGCAACTAAGGAGAAATATTCTGAGGAGCTGTACCATTACCATAGACTTCTGGAATTGCTGCAGCTTTCCCTGCATTTTCCATTCATCCACTTTATCTACATTACAAATAGCCTCTGGATAAGTGAACTGAGTCAAATCCTCTTGTTCCAGTACCTTATAATTAAATTAATGCTGATATAAAATAATAGTGCTAAAATAATTCCCAGGGCCATGATGTAACATGCTCAAAGAACCAACCTGTCAATGAAAATTCAAAAGCTTGAGCAAAGAATATTTAGAAGCCAATTTGTTTTTACTGGGTAGGATATTCAATGGCAATCAGCAATGACATTCTATGGGTAGTTTGAAACTGGCCATTCAAACACTAGTCTTCCACCTTCTTGTCCACAAGCTTTTTTTGATCCCCCCAGACAAAGCAGCTACATCGCTTAAAAGATTAACCAGACTACCCCTGAAGTTTTGCATCACGTGTTGGAATAGCTTGTGGTAGTGTTTTTTTCCAATGTTTCTAGTGTGGAGAATGCAATACCACTGGAAACCGAAAGCAAGTGTTCAAGTTAGACATCAGCATAGCAAGTGGCACTTTACAAATAGTTGTACTTATCTACACATACATCCAAAGCAATATCTAGCTAATCTGAACCGGACTGTTTTAAAGAATTCATTTCTCTTGTCAGACATGCATAAGTAATGTTAATAGACTTCATTACAATTAAGTTTATCCAGGGGAACAATTCAGTTTGTACCCTGCTTTTACAAACTGATAGAGAGGAGGCATTCAAAATTCAAAGTGAAATGAACTAGCACAGACACAGCTTTCTGTTCTGCTTCTATTAGCCCTAAATTAATTACCCTTAAATACCTAAGTTCTGTAAGCCAGAAAGTCATCCAAAAGGGAGAAAGAGAAAGGGAGAGGGACAGGCACAGAGAGAGGAATAGAGAGGGGGAAATAAAAGAGAAATTATGTTTTTTGAGAAGTTTCTGTTTCAAGGAAGGTGTGTGCTGTGTTGCTTGCTACCTTGAGCTTGTATGAAGGGAAATATTGCTATAGAGACCAACAATCCTACTTCCTGACCACTAATACCCATGAATTATTCATGGATATTTCAGCAAGTACATGTCTTTTTCCAAAAACTTCAGTCATACTGACATATAGAGTCATCCAGAGGCAAACGCCTCCTATGGGAAGTATGGATTTCATGGTCCTTTAAGCACGTTTAGGCTTTCTAACAAAGCCCTTTATTATTACATTCTTAGCTTAGCCTCATAATTGACTGCTTGGAAAATTGGAAGCTGTTCTTGATGGGGTCTTTTGACAAGGTTACCAATCCACTTTAGAGAAGCAACCTCATGAAAACCATTGCAAGGTTTTTATTTTTTTTGCAGTCTGCATTGTAGCCACAGTGTGAGCAAGTAGCAAAATTCCTTCCATTGAAAACTATGCCTTTGTGAAGACCTACACTGATTACTGACTGTTATGCATATTTGGTAAAAAGTCAGCCACTAATAGCAATTTTGAAACAGCCTCTGCTGGCAAACCTTCTCGTAAGGATACATCCTAAAATAGTACTTTGCAGGTAAAACATAAAAATTAATATAAATACGTGCGAAAGCATTTTGTCTTGCAAATATCAGTCTTCCTACACTTCATAGAAAAGACAAAGGCTCTTCAGTAGCAGAACCTTAAACTCTTCCTGGAAACATTATAGAGTCATGGGCCGTCCTGTACCTGTGGGGAAGTGATCCTCCAATGCCTTAACGCTTGTACAAGCTTTGTACTTGTGTGAACTGAACTTGGAAGGCAGCATATTCCATTTACTTTGGACAGATGCAAATGACTTCCCACGTATTGACAAATTCCCCCCAAATGACAAATGCTTCAGCACTTGAGAATGAAGGAATTCTTATAGGCACTGTTAGAGTAAATTTTCACCCACATGCACACATGATCAAAATAATTTAGAGGCCCAAGTATTGCACACTCAGCTAACAGTTCAAGCATAGAACTTTCAATTCTCTTTTTCACACTTCTCTAAAACCTGGCAGTCTTACTCCCACTGACAAAAGACATATAAGGCACCTTAGTTACTATGTAACCTTTGCAAATGAAATATAAGTGTTTTTTAAAGACTTCCAACATTATTGATATCTTCTGGGCAATGCATATACAAGTATAATGTAAAATTATAAAGGGATAATAATATTTTGTTGTCATTCTAAGTGTTTGATAAGCAGTGTTTTAAAGTTACAGGAAATAGTGTTATAGCATAATTCAATTGCCCTCAGCTATTTCATATTACTATCTGATATGACAACATCTTTTATAATAAATTCAATGGAAAATACCATAGAGATATCATCTTATTAAATTAATGTTTATTACAAAGTATTACAGTTTTAAATAAAGTTAAATGATGAATTATAATGGCAGAAAAACGTCTTGGGACAGAGTATACTTGAACTATAATTCAGCAGTAAAGCTTGCATTTTAATAATGTACCAGTGTGTAAAGCTTAAATTAGAAGCCTAATTCTGCATTTAATCATGTATTTCACTGAATATTTTAAGGGACAAGGTGTTAGACCAATTCTACCCTCTGCAATTCTCTCTTAAAAGGTTTTAATCTGTAATTACAAAATGAAATTATTTTCAATAGGCGTCACACATGCTTGTATGAAGTGTTTCGTTCCACTGCATTGAATCCTTTGGCAATTGACAGAAACTCAACTGGATGTCCCTTTCAGAAAAATGCAGAGTGTATGTCAACTAACACAATCCTTTTGATGACTCTGACTAGTGTTTGGAGATCAAACTGAATGAACGTAATACAAAGCCCATGTTGGGCAAAGGCATGGCTATTGGGCCAAGACTCTGCTATTTTCTCATTTAAGAAAAAAAAAAAAAAAAGAATACAACAGGTTTTTCGATGAGGCCTTGCTGATTGCTGTGAAGTCAGATAACACAGTGATGCATACCAAATGAGATAAATAAAATTATACTTTTAAGTGCAGTTAAACTATCTAAAATTAAAACCTGTACACACACAAAAAAATGCATCTGGCATAATTTTATAAACATTGTCCATTTGCCTACACTGGTTAACTGTGGCCATGCTTAAAATCACAGGTGTTAGCTAGGTTGGCAGATGAACATACTTGCTGAGGCAGGACACTTATGCATATGCAACTTCTGCATATGTGTTTGCAGCAATATGAATTTTGACAATTTATGCCTAAATTATTTAGGCATAAATCCCTGTATAAACTCCTGGAGGAACGCAAAAAATTAGCTCCTATCCTGTGTATAACAAACTGTACTGGGCAGCACTTGGCTGCCATCTACTTTCTGTATAAAAGTCCAGAAGAAAAGGGGATGACATGATATTAGCATCAGACCTCCTTTTGAAAGCAGAAATATTTCAAGAATAGTGTTTTTGTTGTTTTGTTTTGTTTTTTGTTTTTGTTTTTCCACAGTTGAATAAATGTGCTTCAAAAAATATACAAATAAATATATATATATATGGTTGGTTTTTTTTTGTTTTTTGTGTTTTTTTTTCTACCACACTTAAAATCAGCAAAATTCCTTTGGGAACTACTGCTTTTTTATCTGTGTAAACATAGAACTGCAGCACCAGACATGCATCTAGAATTCATTATCATAAGCACAGATACGATACAGGTATATATATATATACAGATGATCTCTAAGAGAGAAATGTTTCCATGAATGTTTGACAATATATGAATACATGTATTTGTGACTCCTGTGTATGCATTTCATATTTAGAGACATATTTCTATTTACAAATAAAAAGAGAGTGGGTTGGATTCAGGAACTTAAATGAATAAATATATATACAATACTTACATGAATTACATCAAAACAATAAAACAAAGATAAATTTATTTTTTTTTTTATCTTTACCTGGCATTTAATATTTTCCATTTTTCTCTGAAAAACTTCCAAGCAAGATCCCTTCCATGTGGATTTCGAGCTACATGGATTATCACATCAATTGCATCCTGATCCAGGACAACTTCTGAGTTGAGAGACAAATTCAAAAGCCTGGTAGGAATAACAAGGAAAAAAAAATCCTATTTAGATCTGCCAATGCATATTCTGACAACAGCATGTCTAAAAACTCTCAGAATAAACAAACAAACAAACAAACAAACAGTTTGTTTAAGTCTCCAGGTTTCTTGGTTTATTTCTGTAATTCCAAATATCAGACATATTTATGAATCAGAATAAACTTTAGTTTTGGTACGGAATGCTGGTACTACCATAGCTGGAGGGATGGAAAAGGATTTCAGTAAAAGCTGAGTGGAACCTTCCTTGAAATCAATAAGATCAGACTGGTCAATACATTTATATAAAGGCTATGCCAACAAAACATAACAATTATTATAAGGTTTCAAACACCTCTTATGAATTTAGAACAATTCGGAAGTGAAATGACATAATATGTTTTAATTTTCATGTGTAATAATGCAAGAACATGGGACAGTTTACATAGATGCCTGTGCTTTAAAAGCAAAGTTTTCTTCATTTAGACCGAAGCTGAAGTGATGATCCATAAATATTGAAATGATTATCAGTAACAGATACAGATATATAATGTTTTGTACCTATTGAGCAAATTTCTGTCATCACTGCAAGTTAAGGCTTCTAATAATATTTTTTTCTCAGACACTGCTATGGTAGAATGAAATTTCATCCAAATGAATTCCCATACATCTTCATCCATCAGTGAAACTCCTGTACAGTAGACAATGTCTCTCACATTAAGTGGGATTCTAAAAAAGAAAACAGTAATAGCACTGTGTTAAATAAGCAGCTTCTTGACATTGGAAACTAAGGAAGAACATCACTACTTTTAGGAGACTCCAAAATTAAAGTGCAACAGTAATCACTTTTTGGAAAACTACATTTACATCTCTTTACTTCCACCAAAATCTTCTCAGACATCCTGATGGATTTTCTAATAGGCAACACATGCTTGTCATTCCTTTCATAACCATCATTTTGTCAAAAGGATATAAATCATGGTTGTCCAGTTCATCAACATGTAACGTACCACATAACCTACAGGACAGGTAACATAAGCTCTACAAATTAGCTCGGGATCTTATCAGCCTGCTGCTGGGCTCTGCGCCAAAACTCCTCTTCCTGTCCTTAGTAACGAGGTTTCAAAGTGGGAGCTGATCAGCCAGAAATTCCTCCTTGCTTGTGTTGTAAAGTGCTTCATACTCATACAGGAACATACAAGTAAGGAGAAAATTCTACTTAAAAATGGTGTTTTCAGAAGCAAAGAAAATTCAGAGATTTGTTCATTTACTCTTCTTATCTATAGTAATACAAAACCAGCTATGCTACAGGATGGTTGTGAGCTGATGAGCTACTAAAGTACTATAAACTCAGGCTACAGTTTTTATAAACAGCTTTTTAAAGCCAAATTCAGACTTATTATAGGATATGCATTTGTACTCTTTTCTTCTAGAAAGATCTCAGCTGGGCTTTGAATTTCCTACCTTGCTAATATTTCTTATAAGCATAGAAGCCGAAGCATTTGCCGGCTGCAGGGTATTCCTTCAAGTAAAGCTAGACCTTTTTCATATGCTTCTGATTTGAAGGAAAATGCACCCTCTTTTTGCCGGTAAAAATTGTAGCAAAATACCCTTCTCTGGTTACTAATAGCTAATAATATTTATTACTAATAATAAATGCTAATACTAATTACCTTTGGAATTTCATGTGCAAAATCTCTTTAGAGAATCTAGAAGTATAGAAAGCTGCTGTCAGTGTCTGGGCAGTAATACAGTGGGACAGAGAATGAAATTTCTACTGTAAAACTTGATATCATATCTTATGCAGCACAGAAAGAAAAGATGTCATTACTATTTTAAGACTTCACCAACATTTACACCAGAGACCAGACCACATCACTCAAGAATCAAAGTTCTTTTACTCCCCATCTATTTGCCCCCCATACATAAATAAATAAATAAAGTCTTTCCACTGAAACGTTCTATTGCCAGGCCCTATTTAGTGGTGCTCTTTTAAAGAAGCTTCAGCTGATCCTTTTGGCCATATTTGAACCCCTGGAAAATAAAACCAGCATTGTTTTCTAACATTTCAAAACGTTGATTGCTCATCAGTACTTCAGAAGGAAGGAGGCAAAGCAGGAAAGTCTATGTTGATGACTGTGAAGGGATAAAAATTGTTGTTGCATCTAAGGGGTTAACCAGTCCCAACAACCACGATGTTTCTTGAAGAAAAGAATATAAAGAATATGTAGCTAAATCAAAGCAAACAGGAAAGAAGTGCACTCCTCCTCCACCTGGCTGAAGACCTTTGGGCAATTAATGCCTGCTGCTTTTTTGCTGTTCTTTTTCTAAGTAGTAACATAAGGTTACTACTAAAAAAATAAATAAATAAAGCCTAAGATTGAGACTTTATTCATGTTCTTGGCCATCAGTGTGGTCATCAGCTCTGAGGACACATCTACAGGTCCAGATGCAGGTAGTCACATAAATTCTGCTTATGCTGAACTGACACAGATCAAGACTGTGTGTCTTCCTGGAAAATTTTTAGCATGAACCCATGCTAATAGAGCCACACAGGGCTGATTCAACTACTGCTGAATGCTATTTTGCATTTGATGCAGACAAATCCAGACACTTACTCAGGAGCAAACTCTCCAAAGAAAAACTGAAAGGGTAGGCAAGAGAAATGTAATCCATTGTGAAATTACTAGGAATATGAAACTTCTAATTGTGTTTAGCACATATCAGCAACATTGTCTTCTAAAACAAAATTAGAGGTGCAATGGCTCACCTCTGCCATGAACTGCAACTAACTAACCACAGTGGATTACTGCTATTGTGCAGATCCTGACATGATCCAAGATCTTATTGTTTCCTCCCACCACCAAATCACTGTGTGGTAACATCTCCATCCCCAGCTGTCCCACAAAATCAGCATTATTATGGTTATGACCATGTATTGTAAGCAATTCCAACATGTCACCAAGACTTAGCTGGGACCTCCAAAAATGCAAGTTCCATAGTTCGGTTAAGAACACTCCTTTCTATCTTCTTAGTTGTTTTTTGTTTTTGTTTTTGTTTTTGTTTTGTTTTGTTTTATTTTATTTTATTTTTTTGTCAGTCATGTTCTGAAGACCTAAAAAGCTTGCACTAGAAAAAGTTAGTAACTCTCCTCAAATTTATCCAGGACCAGTCAGCCTTGGCTTATATTGAGTCTAAGCAATTGTGGTTCCTACAGAACTGTTACACCAAGACCAAGGAAACCAGACAATTCTGAAAGTTAGCATGAGCCATTGAGTATGTTTAGACATACATATCTAGTGAAGAAGACAAGCTATCATTCTCATGAGCCTTTCAATACCACTGAGTTTTGATTCCCCCAAACTGAGTTATCATTAGTAAAATGTGAGTTTGGTTATAATTTAGAGAATTATCCATGTGAGTTAGGTACCACATTTCTATTTCACACCAATGGAATTCATATTTCTAACTTGAAAGTCTATCAGTAAGCCCATGTTGGAATATTTGAAACATTAATGAGTCTCAAGAGTTTAATTTTCCCCTGCTTCCTGTCTCTTTCAAAAAGCAAATGCAAAAGAAACTGCATATACTGGAGTGTATAATAGAAAATTGATTACATACTTTAACACAAGAAATCAAGAAACACTAAAATTAATACAGTAGGTATTCAGGTGCTGCCACTGTGTTGGATTATATTACTAGAGATGAGGCTTAAAGTTTTCTTAAAAACTGCAACTCTGTCAAAAACTTGGGTCAGCAGTTATAGTAACATTAAATACACAGCCATGTACACATACATGTACATTGAATCAAACTCGGAAGTGATATTATTTACCATTGTGTTGTGATTTTCAGAGTCACTGGGTTATTTGTAAAGCACAACTTCCTTGCCAGCTAATGTCTCTCTCTTTTTTTTTTTTTTTTTAATTTTACTTTGGGATTTAATACAGTGACAGGAGTCAAAAGAACAAATGCTAACTGAACCAGAGTAGGAGATGCTTCCTGATCATAGGACCAAACTGGTTGCCCCAAATCTGTCTTACCACATGGTATCTGAATATGAAGAACTGAACCCAGTCAAGCTTTATGTTAATGACAGAAAGCACTTCATATCTTGACACACAAACACTAAAACATTTTTTAGAAGCACATGTAGTTCTTGCTGAGCATCGACAGCAGAAATGCTGTCTTTGGTTTACTGTGAAAGATGCAACTTGGACAACTGACTCCCTAAGGAACTTTAAGGCACCTGGAAAAAGCACCTCTTTTTAGGTCGATTTTGCCATTAATTCAGGTAAGAAGGAACTGTATGCTGGAAGGACTGTCACTCTGTGTTTGGGTCCAGTCAGAAGCAGAGGTAACTCATGGTGGATGCTAAGCCCCAGAAAGGTCAGCATTCCTCACTTGTGAGGTTTACATTTTCGAAAGTTACATCAAAACATATTAACTCCGTAGGCTTTCCCAGCTACTTTCCTTTATATCCTAAGTAGTGATTTTAGACCCACAGGATCGTTTCAGTGCTCTGAGAAGGAAGAAGGACTTAACAATAAGTGATGGCACTGATCCTATGCCTGCAGCCTAGATGTCACTATGTTTAAGAAAACTCTACTGCAACCAAATTTGTGTATCATACTCACAATGCTCCAGTCGCTTCAGGGAAAGTTTTAGGTCTCTCTGTATAAGCTAAGTCATTAGGATAGTGTGAAAAAAAATCAACCCCCACAAACGTTGAAACAACTACTGATGTTAAAAGCTACAGCTTTAGAAATGATGAAACTTACAGCTATGAAAAGCTACAAATTACTCCTGTGAGAGGCTTGTAATCAGAACCGTAGACAGGGGGTTCCCTTCTGTGGAAATGAAAATTGTGAAAATGAAAATGTGAATATCCCAAAAGTAATTTAACTATTGCCTCAATAGAGAGCCTTCTAATTGAATTTTTTGCATTTGTACAGATTTTTGCTCTCTCCCCTCTCCAATCATTAGGTGCCATTGTTATCTAAACATATAAAATCTTCCCAGTGTGTAGATTTTTAAAATTTTATAGATTAAAGAAAAATGGTTTTCCAAAACTGCAGTTCCATTGCACTGGATCAACACAGAGAACATTATCCCTCTGTATTAATTGAATCAAGTGGATAAAATTAACTATTGTTTCAGTGTTACTTAGGTAGTAACACTGTAGAATGTATCCCCTTCTTATATTAAACCTCATTTGGGCCTTCAAGGCTGCTCTTATTTTTAAAGAGCTAATATGATTGATGGATACTTCAGAAGAATAAAGACAAAGATTAACTTTTGAAAGTGTCACTTTAAATGGCTTTTATTTGAATACTGATCCAATTTATTTAACTTTATTTTTCTTGCTTAAGAGATATGATGGTGAGAATGAAATATGTGGCTAGCAGAGCTCATGTTTAAAAATTAAATACTTTGGGGAAAAAAAAAAAAGTTAAAAATTAAACAGAAAAAAAATAATTAAAATCGTGCTGTGCCTTTACAGGGATTTTTTTCAAGAACGAATAATAAAGCTCTACAATGAGCTAAGAATAATCTTCTAAGTTATAATTAATTGGTACATACTTGCTCCTATTTAAGTATGTTCTAACAATTGGAGATACATTTATAAAATTGAACCATAATTATTTATCTTCTGGGCAAACTGTGTTCTAATTTTTAAAAATGTAATTGCACACAGTTTAGACTTCTTTGATTAAGTGACAAATTTT